CCTTAGAGACCCGGCATAAAATGGTTCTAGTCTCCTTAATTTTTCCATTTGATTTAATGAAATGTTATATTATATTATCTAACTGAGGACTCCACTTACTGTACAAACGTAACACACACAAACACATAAAAAGAAATTTGTTATTGTCCACCTCAGCTTCTGACTAATTTAGATTGTTCGCTATCCACAGTCAAGAGCATCCCGTCTAAATAGCTATAGTTTTATCTGTGAAGCAAACTTTGTCATCTAACCGATAAAATTAACTAAGAAGTGAGATCTTAGCAGGTGAAATGATATTTGCAATTACAAAATATTTGGGATGAATGGGGATTTTTAATTTAGAAGTTGTGTTCTTCATGGACTGACATCAATTGGGGAACCATTGAAAATCTGGGAGCACTGGATAGCTGTTTTGTCCCGGTACGGAACTCCTCAGCAGGGTCGTGGATGCGTACTGCTGAGGAGTCCCATACTAGGACAAAACAGTTGTCCAGTGCTCCCAGATTTTCAATGGTTCCCCAATTGATGTCAGTCCATGATGAATACTACAAAATATTTGTAAAGAGGTAAAAGCTACTCGGTGAGTACCAATCAAATCGACAAAACGACTGAAATAAGGAACAGAATTAGCTGTGATAAATTCACATATTACTTCGCCTAAGAAATCAACAGATGGGTATGTTTAGTAGAACACGAATAGTAGCGCAGAGGTGAGACATTTTGTAGAATTCATTCTCAAAGCTGCAAACTCATAATTAAATATAATTTCCTTGAGTAAAACTGTTCCATATTTTACAATAATTTGGTTCGTTTTGTTTAAAGGACACGATAACTAATAGGATAAGTTGTCAATGTTGTTACTTGTATTATTGTGGCTTAGTGGTCCACTGGATAACACTCTAGCATCTGAAGCGATCAATTCCGAGTTCGAGTCCCAGTGGGAGGCAGGTACATCCAGCTGATGAGTCCAAGATAGGATGAAACGCGTATCAAGCTGCATTCCATCGCTAGCCACTATCAATCCTCAATAGAATAAGCTGTTATCACTAAACGATACTAAAAGTTGATGTCAGTGTAAAATGTGAGCACTGTAATAGAGTGTAATTCCACACTTAATTTAGTCTGTTTCATGTATTACATACAAATTGATAAGGACAGAGTATAATAATAACAATTTAATAGGAGTTGAATACAGTGACTAAATTATGTGAATGATTTACGCAACATAATAAAACACTCTAAGGATGATTCGCTTATCAAAAACAAGTAAACGTAGAAAAAAATAAGCGTTAGCACGATGTGAATAGAATAAAAGAAAGAAAAGAAGGGATAGTTTGAAACTCTAAAGATAATCGTCTTTGAAACAAGAAGATGGGGAACAAAACTCAAGATTTCCTATGTGGATAGGTAAAGCTTCGGCAATAAGAAGGAAACGAACCTATATCATCTTTGTTGGGTTCGCTTCTACTCTGTAGACAACTTTGAAATTTGAATGAAGTATTCAGTTTATGCATTCTATGCAAAGCCGCCGTTGTTTCTTCACAATCAAGTGTAGTGTTATTCTTTAATCCTCCTAAATTAAACTCATGTTGAACAACTGACATGCCTAACTCAACAGAAGCAGGTGAACTGGTATACATACATAGATGCAACCGGAAGCGAAACCTTATCCTACAGGTTGTTAGAAGTTAATAAACGACAGATGATGACGACTCTTGAAACCCATCCTTTGAGAATGTCAGCAGCTAAGACCGTCTTAGAATCCGAGGCTACTGTACATCTTTTTCTGCTACACAGAACTGACATGATCAGTGTAGGTAACGGGCTCATGTTGTCATCGCTTCCGGTTGACCAAGTGTCCCACTTGAAGAGAGTAAATCAAGGACAGAAAAGTTTTGGACTCAAAAACAATTCTCCGTATTATCACTCCATTTCTAGTAGTTACCAATGAAATGACTTCAACAGCTGCATAGAATACCCATTGTGGAACAAGAAGGCACAAATGAAAAATAACGTGAATTTTGCTGCCATTCATTCTCCAAGAATCACTGTTAATGACGAGACATCATAACTTGCACTGGCAACAGAAATAAGAAGTGGAGTTATTAAAACTTACAGAACACCTAATAAATTTAGATTAAGCATATTTCAGTAAATGGTATTATCGCTTCCTGAGAGTACTACTATATATTTAGTCCAACCAACGACGGAGACTCACAAGATATAATACCAATGACTATACCACACCCAATGTACAAGGAGTGGCTAAGGTAACTCAGTGGCTTAGTGGATGACTTGGTGGGCGTTTGGATTGGTTGGTCCTGAGTTCCAGTCCTGATGGAAAGAATACCATTCACTTGGATGCACGTGCTTCCAGCTGACGAGTCCCGAATAGGACGAAATGCGCCTCCGCGATTTCACTCCTAGTCACTATCTTTCATTAATACAACTTTGCATTGTTTGAAGTACATATCTAAACAGACTATCATTAATGTTCATGATTAGTCCCTTGATTTTTATTGTTGAATCAACCTGACAGAAATGACCATAAAGTTAAATCATCCTAAAGTTATGTGAAATATCTAGAATACACAGAACTCATATTCCTCTTCAACTAATAACAGATATTGATCAGTTTTATATATCATCCAGTTGTTATTATTATCACCGAGACCATCATAGGACCAGGCATTACTGAGTGACAGTCCAAGTTGCCAAACCTCATTTCAGCACATCAAGTAACAAGAAAATAAAATGGAAAATGAAGAAACAAAAATCGGTGAAGGGAAGTAGAAAGTAGGAAAAGAGAAGAAGAAAGAACGAGAAGATGAGACTAAGTATAGCGCTTAATGAGACAATGCGTGTATTCATCTGCACCATTGACACCGGTTCTGAGTGATATCATCTAGAGTCTCCAACCACTGGTTTCTCTTGTCCCTTTGACTACAACCGGCTAGTTTGCATCGCCTTACATGGCTCAAAGCAACGACTTCTGTATACAGCCAAATCAATGGCAATCAACAATCTTAAACCAGATCTTTGCGTTGAAAAACATTTCGTGTAATCATTAGGACTTCAACAGCTAGAGTAGTGATTGACTTCTGTGTTTAGAAACAAGTTTTTCATTTTATTCTTCAACATCATAGTTTTTTATTTGACTCTAATCGTTCATGAAAAACTAAAATCTTAAATGAAATTGATCAAGATTTAATTTTCTTCTCTCTGATTTTCTTGTTCTGTGGATTTCACTGCAATAAATGACAATTAATTCATGACTCCAAAAGCTAAATTAAATCGAATTCTTGAAAATGTTGTCTCATTGAATTCGTGATTCTAATTATTATTATTTCATGTAAATAAACAAGCCATTATAGTCTAAACACTCTGGGTTTATATTAAAACTTACCTATATAATGCACTGTAGTCCAGTCCTAAAATTAGCTATTCTCCTGTTTTACCAACGTGTCTTTCTGGCCTAACACAATCGATTATAGGCTACAGTTATCAAAACCTTACTCAAAAAGTGAAATTACTCGTCTCAAAAAAACTTTAAGGAGACTTTAACATGTTAGATGGTGAAATTCAATCAACAAGAAGCCCAAAAACTGAATTTCGTACTTGATAGTGCTCATCAGCAAGATGAATCTGTGAGGAGGAAATCTCAGTTTCTTCATGTTTTTAGATACGTCTTATTGATGAACGCCAAGAAGCAGAAAACCTAGGTGCATGATCAACCTACACCACCATATATGAAACCACTGTGCAGCCCAGTGTTGCATCTTTCCACTTAATAGTCACACTGAAAAACTTAAATGAAAGTAATCGATGTGTGTAAACTTCAATTTTGCAATAAGTGACACATTTCATGCTAACACCAAGATGTGTAATACTAATCAGGTGTATTTCACCAAACATAAATCTATGGGACATGGTATGGTGTGAATCAATATGTAACCAAGTTCAAGCATATAAAGCACCTGTGTCTAATTCAACAAGCCTCTACATAAAATGATTTTATGGATGCAGTAAAATTATAATCTTAACTTATAGTAGGAACGAGTGACTTTAAAGTCACTCTAGCAACAACTTAAATATACTATAAGACTCCTGTATTTTATGAAAATCTCCCTTTCAAGCCGAAAAACAGAAACCTAATTGGTTGTTACGATAGTTGCGAGGATGGTCTTTAAAGTCACCCATAAGTATCGAAAATTAACTTTGAAGACGACCAGAGTAACTGCTGAGATGGCCAATCGCGTTTCTCTATTTGTGTGGAAAGTACCTTCCTAGTTGGAATACTGAAACCTGATTGGTTGTCTCAGCAGTTGTAAGTGGCCTTTAAAGTCACCCAGATCAAACGTTTAACTTCATTGAGAAGCTTGAGAAAAACATTTAGAATTTAGAATAAAAGGTGAGGACTAATGTACTTTTTACATGTTGTTGTGAGAACACAATGAATGCGAAAATGCCGAAATAATGCTAGATCTTGTTAAATAACCCATAAAGTAGGGTGGCTGAAGAAACATTTCTTCATGAGTGTTAAGTTCATTAACTCTAATCTTCAGTGTAATAACTATCCCCAAAAGTGAGCTGATAGGTAGTGATCAACACTAGGAGCCAAGATTGAGTCTCATCCTATTTGAAACTTATCAGCTGAATGCACCCGCATCCTAGTGTATGTTGTTCCCAATGAGAGTAGAACCTCAGACCCATCGATTCAAACGACAAAGTGTTACCTTCAAGGTAAGTATGTTCGATACCTAAAACATTGAAACTGCTCATTCACTGGAATGTTACTCATGTCACAACTCAAAATCAGAACCCCCTTCATATGATTTTAAGTTTCGTCTGGTTAGAGTTAACATTTATACTAACATATTAGGGCTTGATATAAGAAGTATTCAATGAATACCACCTGCATAACATTACTTCGTACTTTACTACTGGATATTATACAATTTCATCCTTATATTTTCCTTTTTTTACTTGCTGAAAACCAGTTTGTAAACCTCAACAAATACATACCTTCTCGCAACGACAAATTAGATGTGCCTGTGGAGTTCACTGCCGATATTTATGTCAAACAAACAAAACAGAAACTAAAGATAAAAAGGAGGAAGAAAATGAACAGAAGAAAACGTGTAAAAGAGTATGCCGACAAAAACCTTGTTATCGACCATTAACTCATAAAATTTATAACTACCGCTTAGCTAGTGGTCTATGCAGAATGTAAGTGTAATACTGATAACTAAATTTCATGAATTGAATTCATAAATCATAAATAGTATGTTGAAGGAACTAGAAATGTTAATTTAAACCTTGACAGTTATAACGCCTTTCTTCTACTGCACAGCCAATATCCACTTCAGCTTAATGTGGTACTCTACATTTTCAAAAAAGGTTACAATAAATGAAGAGAATAATAAAAATCATGTCCAGAACTACTCATTTCATACAGTATATTAACGGAATAATGACCCATAACATCAGTTACGCCACATAAAGTTTACATGGCAACATGCTGGATACTGGCAATGTTTCAAATGTCTATCACAGTCGGTGATGCGTGATTTTAAAGGCCACTCTAACAATAACTAAAATAACCAATCAAACTTCTGTATTTTGTAAAAATCTGCCTTTCCATCCGAAATGGAGAAGCTTGATTGGTTATTTCGATCGTTGCTAGAGCGATCTTTAAAGTCGCCCGTCGATGAATGTAGCTGTGTTTCTTTGTAGTTTTTGTAGGACAATTCAAAGCATAACTGATCACCTACTTTTACTTAAATCTTAAATTTCACAGTATTTTCATACGGATATAAATCCGTCTAATGTTTTAGTTGTTTTACTGATACAACCCCTCATTGTGTTCTGGAAAAATATAAAGTAATATACCAGTCTGGTGGTGCTAATTATTTTATAACCGGTTATCAATCTCAAAGTATTAACAAGATGATAATTAATGAAAGTACAGACTGATTGCATAAGGAAAGTTATGAAAATTTAAACAGGTTGTTGCATAACTGATACTGGGTGATAATTGAAGGAGAAATAAAAATTTGGACCGCAGCCGGATTCAAAACAGCGACCAACGAGTTTCTCGCCCGATGCTCCACCAACTAAGCTACGAGGTCCAACTACTGAGGAGATTTTTATTTCCCCTTAATCTCTAGGGATTTCGCCGTACTATGAATTCATGGCACGTTCATCTACCCATACCAAAATAGGACCAGCCATTACTGCGTTAGGGTCTGAGATGGCACACTTCATATCAGTATATCAAGTAACAAGGCAATGAAATGGAAGACGAAGAAAAATAAAATTCAGTCAAAAGAAACATAAAGAACTCAAAGGAAGAAACGAAGAATTAGAAGATGGTGAGATTCGGTACAGCGTCGGTAAGACGAGGATAATGTGGGCAAACATCTGCTCCATTTCACCTAGAGTCTCCAACCACTGGTTTCTCTTGCCCCCCTCCCCTAAACCACAACCGGATAGTCTCCATCGCCCTACATCCCTCAAACCAACACTCAACCAATTCATACAGTCAGGCATCTTCCATTCTAACCCCACACAGACTCTTCTTCTTCTCCCAACCTCAACCTACTTCACACAACATTCTACGACAACATACTCACTGACCACGCATCCATAACACACATTATACCCATCTCACTCAATCAATGTTCACAACCACATCAAATCACTTCCCTCGACTCCCCAAAACTCTACACCTCACGTCTGCATTACTCACCTGGTGACACCACTAAACATAGTCTATACTACGAAGGCAACCATGGTCAAACACCTGAAGCCTTCTCATGTCTTCTACCCTTAATGGTCATGCTTCACAGACACACAGTAGAACAGAGCTGACTGAAGCACAATACAATCAACTCTTAATAGACAATCGGATATCGTGACGGCGCCACACATGGTGTAAGCTGGCAAAAGCCAACTGAGCCTTTCGTATCCATGTAGAGATTTCGTCGGACACTGACCAACGCACCGGGTCTGATCCAACTTCTCAGGTAAGTGAAGTGGTTGACACACTCAACCATTTTACCCTTTATTGTAGGCCAAAACACTGTTGAAGACCAGTCCTGCAGCAACAATTTGCATTTGGGTGGCGAGAAACACATCCCAAACATTCTCAAATTCAAATTGTCCAGAAGACGCTATATCTTGTCAGCATCTTCACCTAGCGGGACGATGTCATCTTCATATTGTAGGTCTACCAAACATTCTCCTGTAATCATTTCAATTCCTGTGTATTCGGATGACGAGAGGGAGACATCTATAAGAATATCTATGATAAAATTGAGTAGGAATGGGAAGAGTAGACATCCTTGACGGAGACCATTAGACATACACAAATAACCCAATATCTTACCGTAGGCTCTGACACTCACACAGATGTTCGAGTAAAGAGCCTTCAATAGCGTGATGTACTTATCCGCTACCCTTTCCAATCAAAGACACTGCCATATGACTTTTCCATTGTCGGAATTGAATGTCGCCCTCAGGCTGAGAAATACAGCTACTGTCAGGTGTTGGTAAGCATGCCTGTGTTCCAGAACCTGACGCAGTGTGTATATGTTGTCTATACACCCATAACCAGGTCTGAGGCCTGCCTGGTTTTCTCGGACTTGCTGTTTCCGAGCTCCACTCAGGCGTCTAATGATTATAGGACCTAGAATTTTAGATACTATGTCCATCAGGCTGATATTTCTGAGGTTATCACAAGAGCGCTTCTCACCTTTCTTGAAGACTGGAATGATCAGTGATTTAGACCAGTCAGAAGGGATCGTATTTGATTCCCATGAACTAGTCCACACTTTCATTACCCGACTAAGAGTACTCTACCACCATCCTTGTACACCTCAGCAGTTAATCCATCGCGACGCGTTACTACAGCTTAATCGTATACACACTGGCTGGCCAGACAGGACTTCTCATCCGAATCCAACTCTAACTGAATCAGAGAAGAGAAACACCATACTGATTATCATTTTGACCATCTGAGATAGCCGTGGTTTGGCAGACTAGTAGTGATACTGGGTGATGATTGAAGGTAAAATGAAAATTTGGACCGCAGCCAGACTCGAACCAGCGGCTACCGATATTAACACGTCACGAATTCACATGGTAGTACTGCGAAATCCCTTGCGACTGAAGGGAAATAAAAATCTCCTCAGTAGTTGGATCTCGTGGCTTAGTTGGTGTAGCATTGGGCCAGAAACTCGCTGGTCACTGTTTCGAATCCGGCTGCGGTCCAAATTTTCATTTCACCTTCAATCGTCACCCAGTATCAGTACTAGTCTGCCAAACCACAGCTATATCAGACGGTCAATATGATAACTTAATTGATAGTTTGTATAATAATAACTAACAAGAAGAGAAGAGAAAATGAATGATTATCTCAAGTGGTCAATTGTTGACGGTAATTAGAGAGAAAACGGGGAAGAACAAGATGGCTAAAACTTTCATATTAATAACAGTAACAGTTGTAATCGTTTGTGGGGTAAAAGAAGTGGAGAGTGATGTTTTTATGGGTAAGTTATGGAGGTGGTCAAGCCAAAAAAAGAGGCTGTACCATTTTTTTCTGAACACACAGACTAGACTTGCTCAGGTGGATTCCGATGGCTTCTACAGTACCTAAAACAGGAACTCGTAGAGGAAAGGCGAGATTAGAAGGAATGTGATTTCTTTAAAGGCGTTATGAATATCAACTCGGTGACTAGTGTCATCGATGTTGTTTGCTCTTTTCTGAATCATGATGTATGGTGGCAACAGGGTATCCCCAACTTCGAGAGCATCATCGTCCAGTGAATCGCAAGGAGCCACTCCAGGTCCATTAGTTTTTCTATCATTTGTGAATAACCTTTCGTGGAGTCCTAGCCCTCTAGTTCTTTACTCAGATAACGTTAAGACATGGAAAGCTGCGAGATGAATGAATGGCCCAAGAACGCTGAAAAATGGCCTTTGAAAGTTCAAACAGTAGGTGAAAAATAACTGACCGCCATTTAATCTCTAAAAATGCTGGACAGTGTTTTTCTCCACTCTTTTTGTTGTACGTAACTCTCTCACATAACCACAACGAAAGATCTGGGCTAATATTAACCGCAAACTCAGAGTAACATTTCAAAATATCCGTGATATGCCTTCAGGACCTCTATCTTAAACTTCACAAGATCTACATACGACTCCACCTGGACGTTTACAGCATAGTTGAAACAACCACACCTAAAAAATGACGCAAACCAACTGGAGAAAGTCTACAGACGACTCACTTAGGGTGTTTTAGGGATGCAGTGTACATTATAATAGAATACACTAAAGGATCAAGGCCTTAATTCAAGTTACCCAAACGTCCCTATGTTGATCCTTGCTATCCTTAAACTAGGAGTAGATTCAGACCAGTTCAGAAGCATCACCTTAGATTTGACACGTGAGAAACGCATACCAAACATACTCAGATTTCTCCTCAAGGCGTTAAGAAGCCCCTGCATTTTATCACCATATTTACTTAACAGGGCAATGTCATCTGCATACTCCAAGTCAACCGGATACCTTCCAAAGAGTAGGTCAATCCCTGTGAAGTCAAGTAAGAGATATCTAAAGTTATGTCCATGGGTACATCTGTGGCGAAATCAAATACGGACGATGATAGTGGGGATTCCTGAGGAATAAAATTAGTTACAATCAATTATCCACAAGCCATATACGTCTTTGGTTATTTCCTGAACCTCCTTATCTTTCTTCCACAACCAGTCAGAAAAGCTATTTGATGACACATTTGAAGACCCATATCCGCCACAGTCTTAAGACAAATCATAAATCTTCCTTCAAATTTAGCCAACACCAAACTATCTACCGAACTTACAGTAGTTGAGTAAATGCATTGGAATCGACCAAAGACCTGAAAACATCCAACAAGACGTAGAAGTGAGTGCAAAGAAATCAGCCAGTTTATACAAGCTTGTAGTATAGATACTGGAACTTATCGCTTTGCAAATTCAACGCAAAATAATTTTAAAAGCCTCATAGTTGATGGTGATAAGCTCCTAAATCTATAATTAAATCAAATGTCCATTCCTGAAACACTCAGCATGAACTGTAAGTTTTTACTGAAAAAATCGACTACTTCCATTCACTCCTACCACCGAATATTTATCGTACTTCGGGTATAGTAAGACTGTTAGATACACGACTTTATAGTCTATATAATGATGATTACATTTCTTTATATGAATTCGTAATACTTCAACAGGATCGATATTTTTCTAAGAAGACTAATGCTGAAGATATAGCTACATTTCTCACTAGTTCTAACTATATATGTTCCAGCTTCGCTAATGAATATTTCAATTGGATTACTATTTAAAAGTCACCGCAAACACTAAATTAAACACAAGCATATTTATAGAAAAAACATTTATGCTACAACTGACCATAGTTCCCCGTAATTTATCTATTTTTCCTGGTTAATTCACCAAATTTGTTACTCTTTTTTTTAGCAGCTTTATCTATTGAGACTTTAATCCATGTGAATGAAGTTTTACTTCATCATAAGAGGTGGCAAGAATTACGCAAACTTTTCGACTTCACTTAACAGCAAACAGATTTTAACAATCCATGAAGTTCACGCTTTTAATATCAATACTCGATCTTAAATATTCAGTAGTAGCAATATCATTAAATTCCTTGTTAAACAGTGATCACAAAACCACGCATACCTAAAATAAAGAGTTTAATTAGCTAACCGTTAAACAAAGGCTGAAGGCAAGCATTCAAAGGAAATACCATAAAGAGAAGGTCAACATCATAAAGAAAATGAAACTTAAGTAATCCTTTAAACCTTCACATCCAATTAAGTCTATCCATCTACATGAATGTGTGGTCATATATGCAAACACAAGAGCACACGTAGATCTATACAAGCGACAGTCACATAGCATATTTAAAAATGACTGCAACATTAAATCGAATCAAATTATCTCAGTTACCCAGGCAATACACCCTCGTACGGTCACCTAGCTGGGTAACGAAACGTTCAAGAACTAAATTCCAAAGCTCGAAGAACACTAAACAACTACCATAGCTAAACAAATGACGGAAATATGTTACAAAGTTGGTTTGTATGCATCTTCCAAGAATATTGGAGGTTTACGAGGATTTGTCTATTGATTTCAGGTTGATATTCATCATGAAATGATATCAGTTGGAGGGACAGTGTGAACCTGGGATCAGTAAACAGCTGTTTCCTCCTAACATGGAACTCCCAAGGAGTGCGCACCCCCAGGGATCGAACCCAGGGCCTCCTCTACAGACCTCAAAAGTGAATTACTCTAGGTCTCATCAATGACTTGCTTCAAGAAGAGGTCCCCGGAATTCTAGTGATAAGTAGCGAACGGAGGGGCCAACGAAGTCGGATGTAAGGACAGTTACTCAACGACAGCACTGGATGGATGCCGCGCTATATCGTGAACTGACAGAAGTTGGAAATGTGAACCATTGGATACCGACCCATTGGCTCTATGGTGGCGTGCTGACAGTGGAGTGTGAAGATCTTGAGTTCGATCCATGGTGAGGTCATGAGTGCACACTGCTGAAGAGTCTTATACTAGGACGAAACAGCTGTCCAGTGCTCCCAGGTTCCTCCTAATGGTCCTCCAGTTGATGTCAGTCTATGATGAACATCAACCTGAAATCAAAATGGGTTTCTTATCAACTTAAACCTGTTTTAGTATGAAGACTTAGTAATATATATATACTACGCTTCTCTTACCGCTTAAACTAGCGATTCAACCCAATAGAATATCGATTATTTTTTAAACCCGTTTATCGATTATTATAATTCATATAGATGGGCATGACAATAAAATATATGTGGTCAGATTGTTCAGACTATGTCATCATAATACATTGCACAAGCACCAAATAAAATAATTATTAAATATGAGTCTACTGGTTAAGACGCTAGGCTAAACATTCAATTCCCTTGAATAAACTACTTAAATGCTCAGGTTAAGTAGTGTGATTAGTATTAGTTGTATAGATGACTACATAAATAATTACCACACAATCATTAAACTACTCTCGTACTACACATCTGAAAGGTTTATGTTCTAAATATTTACTCATTATAATATAAACTATGATCAAGATTTGATTGAGTAGTATCACAAATATTTGGTGCCGAGTGTGAAATATAAGTTACATTTGTATAATTCCCAATAGGTTTGAAATAAAATAATTTCAACGTTTCACATAGAATTTCCATCCAAGTGTTCTAGGAGGAAAATTTTTTAAAGACATCGAACCAGACTTCCATAAAACACATTTTAAGGTTATTACAAATATAATCTGTATCTCCTCAAAATGGAAATGGTATTATTATTATTACCATTATATATTATTTCTAAAGATTCCTTTTCTCTATATTTTTATTGACAATATGCTGAAAATTCTGGTCAAAAGGTGGAATATTTGTACATATCGTGCAAAATGTGAAGGTAAAACACGTCGATGGGTGCAGTATCATCTTACTTCATGTCAAAGATCAAGCACTCAGTCATACTATAAACAATTCTGGATGAGAAATAAATGACTTTCAAAGATGTACCTACATGTATGCGCGTGACTGAAAATTCTCTCTTGTAACTGTTTTATGAATTAACTCAAATCTAATTGTGTACTTATCATATTTTGTGTTTCTTCTATGAAGATATTTCGTGAAGAAATGATGAAATGATAAACAAAGGTCTCTTTAAATAAATTAATGTGAATCTAAGCTATTCTACAAAATACTGTAAAAGTTGTTTATGACTGTCCTTTTGTTTTTCTGTTAAAAAAAAACGATCAAGACTTATTTTCACATAACTGAAAAAGCCACAACAAGCGGAATACCTTATTAGATCCAAAATAAGCTGTTTAAAGCCGCAGTGAAATTTTACTAATGACTAATCTGCTATGAATAATTTAACCAACAAGTACGTGAGGTCTCGGATGACAATCCTTTAGTGTTGGCTAAATAGGTCGGTTAATCTAGTCAAATAACTTGTTACGCAACCCACTCAGCTACCTTGTGCACACTCATGCGACAGACAATAAGCCACATTTACTATGTCAGGCCTAGTGATACTACCTAACTGCCCAAACCTCAGTAGGTGGGGCGGGGCTCGAACCCGCGACCCAGTGGTTAGTAGTCATCTCCTTAAACTAGTGAGTTACAGCTCAGTGAATAAATACAGGTCATGAAAGATAATTTCTGCTGTTTGACATCTTGTAGCTTTAACAAGCATCCTTCCAGGAACAAATTAGAGGAAAAAATGTTCCACGTAGCTGCTAAAAAATTAGATTTGTGGACTTCACTTTACATTTTCGACCACACCTTGTCGCTACTGTTACGATTTGGGGATATGACAGATTACGGACAATAGTGAATGAAATACGATATTTCAAAACTGGCTCGGTTAGTGCAAAGCAGAAGACCCCAATGAACTGAAGAATCCATATTTCAATCAGAAAAGTATAAAAATAGGGGTACGAATTATTGGTTGATACACAAGGTGAGGAAGGCGCAAAAAAGACAGTTTGGACTTCCACCAGATGAATTTTGGCGTTAAGGGTTTGCTAAGGGATTTAACAAATATTCTTAACAATAGCTGAGAGAATTCTGCAGGAACTCACAGCGTATAATCAAGTGCTGCCCCTTCTTTTACAACCTTCAGTGTTCAGTTCACTAATATATACGAAGTTAATTCGAAACGAACTGCACTGTTCCTTAGGAGACTCAGAAGAGATGACATCAGAATCTCAGACACATTAGTATCAGAATGTTTTGATTCAGCAAACTTGTCAGTCTCTTCAGGTCCTTTAAATGTAAATAAAAAGTAGATGCAATAGTTACAGAGCATTTCCCGTTTTCCTTTCTCGCGTACTGGTTAATATTTTAGGTGAAGTGGGTTTCAAGGGAAAAGTATTTTAAACACTGTTAGAGTGAAAATCCAGTCCCATCACCTAGTTAAATCAGTAACAATCACCTAAGTAAAAATAAAACCATACAGTACCAGTGAGATAAGCGGTATATTCCACTAACAGAGTGACTCTCTACAGTCGAATAAAACAGCGAAAATATATCAGGTAATTTCTACCGATGATTTTCTATCACATACTGTGTAACAATTTCATAAGTGATTAACTATTCTTGTCAGTTTAGTGGTATATCAACGTCGATCATTAAAAAACAGTGGCAGTGAAACAAGAAAAAATATCAAATAAACCAATTAAACCACACTTTACAGGGGTCCCTTCAGTAGCAATAATCAACACCAGGAAATCTTATAAATGCCACGACTTCACAATCACCCATCTATGCTCTCTTAATACACTGCACTAACGAAATGATAATTCAGTACGTTACTTTCTCTTCTAAAAATGAAGGCTTTATGAATCTTCAAGATATACTTGTGAAATAAAGAATCTATAGACTCGTCTAGTAATCAGAGCTAAGACTGAAACAAGATGTCAGATTCGAAAGATGAAATGAATGTTAACAGCTTACGATAGGTCATAAAAAACGATAAGTGGAAACTGGTACATCAAGCTGACTGACTGTGAAAGAAGTACCGAGCACGTACACATAACGCTAGCCAAAGCTCTCTATTCAAACTCACTCAATCGTATAAGAGTTTATGGAGAGTTGTTATCTGAGTTGACGACAACTAGTGTCCATCAGAGATCCCCGCTATCACCGTTCCAATTCATTTTCGTCATAGATGTGTCCATAAAAATAACTTCAAATACCCCTTAGTTGACTTCACATGGACTGACCTGCTCCTTGGAGTGTGTCTGGCTGAATTGGAGTATGCAGACGATATCTTCCTGCTGGGTGAAGACACTGACAATGCTGGGTATTCTGAACGCCTTGAACAGAAATCTGGATATCCTTAGTATGCCTTTTACTGGCATCTCTCAAATCTATGATGCTCCAGGATTGGTCTACTGCAAATACTCCCTCCCAGTTTACTGATAAGGAGTGAAGTGGCAAAATATGTCTCATTTCACTTACTTCGCAAGTTACATCAGCCTGAACAAGTTGGCTGCTGACAAAATACCACCTCACATACACAAGGCCCATTTGGCATTTCCCAACTTGCGTCATCTCTGGCGCCAACTAGCCAGATATCCGACTAAATAACAAAGGACGAATACACTGCTCTCCAGTCCGTCCTCTCCTATCATACGGCTGTACAATATGCTCGTTGAAGGTAGAAAACATGGAGTGATTGAAGGGTTTTGATCACACGTGTCTTCATAGCATTGCTCACGTTTGGTGAAATCACGATTTGAGCAATGTTGAGGTCAGGTGAAGGGTACTCGACAAGACAGACAAGTCGATTGAAGAGATTGTGAACCTAAGTTGACTGAGGTGGCTTGCACATGTACTGTGTACTGTGCATGCTGAGAGACCGTTTGTCTCGACGTGTCATCTTAAGGGAAGCTAGATTAGGTTGGAAGAGAGTTCAGAGTGGTCACACCGAAACCTGACACCAGTCGATCGAGTCCCTGACTGAATAGTGTTGGGTGATGTAGACTATCTGGTTGGGGTCCCCAAGACGAAAGGAATCAGTGGTTGAGGACTCTTGGTGACATGGCTAAAAATCGGTCACAATGGCGTATGTGTATTCCCTACTTGACCTCTACTAAGACTAAATTGCCTTAACTAACCTTTATTTCTAAATTCCTTCTCCTCCCATACACCTTGTCTACTTTGTAATCATTCTTTTTCTACCTACTTTTTATTTATGTACTTCTGTGAATTGTGGCAAGTAGAACCCTTCTGGGAGAGGATCTACATTGATTTCGTCTACCTGTCTTTCTAACACCAAAAATAATAAAAAAAGGTTTTAGGATGCCTTTCTCCAATTACCTGTTTCGATTTAGTTAGGCGTCTTCAAGAAAATAGCTCTCAATACATAAATAACACAAGAGAAGAGTTTGCTGTACTTTGCTCACACTACTAGATGACTTTACTACTATTGCTACCACTCAGCGTTTGACTGGCTATAAAAAGGAACTTCCGTTTGCCAGATGAATAGTTCTTCGGAGAGCGATTATATGCAAGCAACACTTATTGTGAAGTAATAACTTAATAACAGTGAGTAATTAATTATTTTTGTAAAAATACAAGAAACAAATTATAGGATATACATTTTCCATAAATAGTTGTATGCACGCGCACAAGACGAAGACAATAATTTTTTATGTACACTGACAGGTGGATATAGCCGTTTTCAACAATTACACACACACACACATACTCATTCACAATAATTCAAATTATCTCCTGAGGTTAGATCTTCTGGTAGAAAATACTCCTCTGGATTTAAACCCATTGCTTTTCTTACTGAATATGGATGAACAAGATCTTGTGGACGAGTATATTTTGCCAGTTTAACAAATCGTTCAGTTAATCTATGCGCAATAGCCATTTCATTCGATGTGGGTTGTAGTGTTGAACCAAGATTTACAGTCTGAGATGTATCACCAAGTCTTAGGTATTGTGCACAGTACAATGCATTCAAATCCTCTGCAGATTTGATTAATTCTGTGTTCAATGAATTACTGCTATCGATATTACCTGAGAGATAATAAAATAAACGATTACTTTTCGTTGTTACTCGATAATAGTTTTTCTCCAGAAAGTAATGACCATTAATAACAAAGTTAACAGTATGAATTACAAATAACACTACTTACCTCCTACTCGTTCTACCAAAAGTACAAAATGGAATAGATAACTTGATCAAGCAGTAGTAACACGTCACAAATTCACATGGCAGTTGGACAAAATCAACTGGTAATTGAAGTGAAATAAAAATTTGTTCAGCAGTTGGGTTTCGTAGCTCAGTTGATAGAGCACCGGGTTGGAAACCCTAGTGGTTACTTGTTCGAGTCCTACCGCGGCTCAAATTTTCATTTCACTTTCAATTATCACCTAGTATCAATAATTTCAAAATTCAATTTTACTGCGATTATTAAACACCACCTTGATAATAACGATGTCTGATAATTTACGTCCGAAAGGTTAACCAGTAAACACGTAATACATCAGATAAACAAAGTTAAATGGAGCTGTACACTACTATTGCCATATACCCTTAATTTTGCATAACTCTTGTTGTAGAGGTTAACGTACTAATTAGCGTTTAGAGTCAATTCGTTGCCCGTTAGGTTCGTATTGCTCGTCGACTGTTAGGTCGTACTAAAGTGTCCAAAATTTAATTCACTTCTATTGAGAGTAACTGTAACACAGTTCAAGTACTGTGTACTAAAAAGTAAAGCATATAAAACAAGATTGAAAAGTCAAACGACAATAAGTGACAAAATAAGCTCTTACTCTGAAATTGAGAATAACCTGCCAAACAAGTCCTCACCATGTAATCTAATCTGACACTTCTCTCTTTAAATCATCATCATTATCAACTTAGGACCAGGCTTTATTGCATAACGGTTCAAGTTGCCATACCTTATATAGGCACACTAAGTGATCGGATAAAAGACGAATAAATAGAGGAGAACCAGTCAAAAGCAGTCAAACAGAGGAAGCAAGAATGAGAAAATACTGAATTCAGTTTAGTGATTAAAATAATGTATGGAAACATCTGTGCCACTGACGTCGACTATAAGCGATATCATTTAGAGCTTACAACTGCTAGTTTCTTTTGTCCCGTGGACCCCAACCGCCTAGTCTCCATCACCCTACATCCCTCAAACCAACAGTCAACCAATTCATACAGTCATGCATCTTCCATTCTAACCCCACACAGACTCTTCTTCTCCTCCCACCCTCAACCTACTTCACACAACATTCTACGACAACATACTCACTGACCACGCATCCATAACACACATTATACCCATCTCACTCAATCAACGTGCACAACCACATCAAATCACTTCCCTCGACTCCCCAAAACTCTACACCTCACGTCTGCATTACTCACCTGGTGACACCACTAAACATAGTCTATACTACGAAGGCAACCATGGTCAAACACCTGAAGCCTTCTCATGTCTTCTACCCTTAATGGTCATGCTTCACAGACACACAGTAGAACAGAGCCGACTGAAGCACAATACAATCAACTCTTAATAGACAATCGGATATCGTGACGGCGCCACACATGGTGTAAGCTGGCAAAAGCCAACTGAGCCTTTCGTATCCATGTAGAGATTTCGTCGGTCACTGGGTAACCAGGGCTAAGCTAGGTGGTTAAAAATGGATAGAAAGGACCTGGTTGGATAGCTAGAAATGATGAACACGTGTTACGAAAGACTTAACCCGTTAAAGCTTCGCAAAACTCTCAACAATTGAAATGAAGTTGAAACCTGGTTACTAGTTAGGGCTAATATCTCAGTTAGTAGATCACCAGATCAATAATTCACGGACAGCTCGTTCGAATGTTGCCGTCATATGGGTTTTCGGGTAAATTCCAAAAATCTCATATCATCACGTAGAACAGACGTGTAAAGTAGTCATAACTATTCATCTAAACACTCGAATACTAGTTGGAGGCTTGTGGGGATTTATTTATTGATTTCACATTGACATTCATCATGGACTGACAGCAGTTGGAGAACCATTGGAAACTCTGGAGCAATGTACGGCTATTTCGTCTTAGTATAGGACTCTTCAGCAGTGCGCACCCATGACCCCACCAAGAATAGGACGCAAGGCCTCCAAGTTCCACAGCTAGCACTTCAATGATCCACATTACCAACTCCTATCAGTACTCTTACACTACATTACATAATATACAATGCTTAAAACAACATACTACGTCTATTAAACAACAGTTTCATAACCTCACACACATATCCATTTTTTACTCGACTTTTATCTAGATATCCACAATAAGGTTGGGGGGAATGGATTTAAACCCAGTAATCTAGTCATCAGGAGTTCAGCGTCTATGTTGTCAAGTCATGGTTTCAATAACACTGTGGTTAACTTTAAAATTTAAAATTAACGGGATAAAAATAGTTAGTTTCATAAACGTTTTGTAAAATATTTATGAACGTAACTAACTTTCATCGTCATAAGGATGTGTACATGCATTTGAATCCACCAAATCATGATGAGTAATCGAATCCAAATCGCAAGTAGCAGAAATATTCTCGACAACTGATGGTTCCACAACATTTTCTGCAATTTCATTCTTTTCGACTGTTTTTAATTCTTCTGATTCGGGACCAGCTTCAGAACAAGATTCATTTGAAACTGTAATAGGTAGATTTTCCCTTTTCTTGATAAGATCACGTGTGAATGCATTAGCTAAACATATGCTAAATACAAATTCATCAGGTACATCTGGACCGGGATAATTTCTTCCAATTCAGATGACAATTGGGTAACAGCACGCTGTTCATTCTCTGCAACTGCCAGAGAGATAGCCAACTGTTGATCACCCATTTCTAAAACAGTAGATATTACTTCATCTGTGATTTCAAAGTCATCCATACAACCGTCTATATCATAACCACCAGTCAACGAACGTTTACCAAGTACAAATGGTGTACGAGCTGGAAGCCATGTGGTTCCCAATAACAATTGATTCGACTCTGGAGTGCAATGAGAAGCTCCACTATCATATGTCGGAGCAAAGGAGTAATACGGACCATAGTCAAGGTATGTGTATGGTATAACCTTATTGCGTCTATCTTCTCGATAACCACCATTTGGAAGTAAAGATGAGCCTGAATTCAAGTGACCCGCCTATATATATATATATACAAAAAGTAAGAAAAATCACAAGTATCTTAGTAATTTATAATGTAGCACAATAAATGCTAAACAATCCAAAGGGTTGCTACAAAGCTCGAATGAAATTCGTTTACCGTTCACCGTACTACTGATATTTACTACCATATTTTACGACACTTCTCTTTGAAAAAACCTAAACACTGTCAGCTTCCATTGAACATTAACTTTCAGTGAAAGTGTGCAGTTCAAAATGATTATCAATAAAACTCAGAACAAATATATATTAAGAGTACCTAATACAGTAGTCTAACTTGACAATGACCAACCTAAGATTTATCCACTTGAATGAAATCAATAAAACCAATTATAAAAAATCTTTGGGTTAATCGCTATGTAAACCACCTTACAAAGAATGTTTCAACAGTACAACAGCAAGACTGTATCCAAGTCAAACCAAAAGGGGATACAAAGGATATGTGTATCTCATGATAAGGTAAAAACACGAGACAAACATCAAGGAAAAACAAAGGGGATCTGAACACCGTCATGAATTGGGAGGGGTACTCATATCAAAGAATGTTAAATGATGAACAAGATATGATTGAACAGAATAAACTGTTAAGCTGTGGATAAAGTAACGTTACAAGAACACACGATTATACTACTCAATAAAATTAAGTAGTATGAAACTGAAAGTGCAAAAAGAGAAACAACATCACACGGGATAAATGGGAGATGAGAAACGAATTAACCATGATCTTTTAAAAACTTAAGATAATTTTTATGGGATTTTGGTTTTCCTTTTTAGGGAAAAAGTTCTAATCGCCAAGATTTCAGTCCTAGAAATTTCAACTTCAAAAGCAGCATAGACTTTAGTCTGCTCTTCTGATCTGTTAAACTAAACGACAAGCAAATAATGGACTGTCGGTTGGTTACATTGTATTTCTATTACGGGTTATTCAAAGACAAATGTGAATATTTTATTGATACTTGTAATTTCCCGTTGCTATATACTGAGTCGAGTTGATCGACCCCTGTTGGTAGATGGAGTGCTATGCTGCGGCTTCGATACTGCCTGAAGATGCATTATGTTGTAGATAAATTGGTGGCTAGCAGCTGAGTTCACGACGCCAGTTTCATCTTATTTGGGACTCGTCAACTGAATGTACATACATCCCACAGAGTAATGGTGCACTGGGTTTGGGTCTCAGTAGGAACATCCAATTGTCGAATGCCAAATAAGACGAAGCGTGCGTCCCTATTCCACCATCTAGTCACCAGTCATTTTAAAGTATAATTGTGGATGTCTAAGCCGTCTATAAAAAAGTGAAAACTTACGTATAAAGATCATATCAGTTTTTATTCTCTCCGTCTCACAAGATAGTAGAAAACAGGTTATTCGAAACCTATGAAATATTGCATGAAGTTTCACATCTTTACAAAGAAAAAAACTACAATAGGCAGTATCAACCTTGAAGATAAAACGCCTATATATCGACAAGATTTGAATCCGCTTTAGAAAAATACTCCACAACTTTTGCGTTTACAACAAGTTCAAAGTTATATGTATCTATGTAATTAACTAAAACATGTACATTTTCACGTATTAGACAATTAGCCACAGCTTATTAGGTGAGAGCTGCCTGGCTGCCCAGACGTCGGCAGATGGAGTGCGACATGAACTCATGATCCACCGGTTGAAACTTGACTGCCTAAATCAACATGTCACAGTTCCCCAATAAATGAGGTGAGTGTGGATGGACTTATTTAACACAGAACTAATTGTAACCAGGACAGAAATTAGACATATATTGAAATTTCTGCACCTTTTTCGTATTCTCAAATTGTATGAAGCAGAAGATATCAACACTCAAGAAAAGGTGTCTTCAAAATTGGCATTTCTTAAAGACCAAACCAGTTTTGTAGGGGGGTGGGGGTGGCATGACCAGTACTTCAATGAAAACTGTGTCCCAAACAATACCAACTCGGAAAATACTTAAACTTATATTTATTGCACAATCTATTCAAAAAGTGAAATAATTACAATAACAACACAACTCACTTGGTTGTGGTGAACAGAGGAATCAAGGAAGAGCGTTTCGTCCTATTTGGTACTTGTCACCTGTATGTATCTGCATCCCGGTGGCCTGGTGGAAAACGCTTTGACACTTGAAGCGATAAGTACCAAGTTAGAGTTTCAGTGGGAACAACACTCAATGGGGTGCAGGTACACCCATCTGATAAGTCCTAAGCAAAACGAAACGCGTATCCTAGTTTCTTCTGCTAGCTACAGTCAAGTAAATTATGACAATGATTATTCAGGCAATATCAAGGCATTCGTATAAGAGTCTATGTGCTAATGGAGGCAGAACGATTCAATGCAGTAAAACAACGGAGAATTACAATCATGTAAATAAATAGTAATAACAACAAAAGTCTAGAAATAATGCCAGCAAAATAAACTGAGTACAAACCTCATCTCCAATACTTTGAACACGTTCTGTCCCATTAATGATACCATTGTTATCTGGATTCAAAATTTTCAAGTAAGTCTCTTTAGATACGAGGTCAGCATCAATGTTATTAATTACTTCAACTTGTGAATTTTTTCAGCCAATAGTAAATTGTCTTGTGGACGATTTAAATTAGTAATATATTCTGGATTCAATGAATTAAACCAATCTTGACTTAAATTTAATAGGCGATGTGCTTCATTATAAGCCATTGATTCAACTTGATAGTAACGAATAGCACCAGTCAGTAAATTTAAAATATCTTTTTGAAATTCAGATAGACTTTGATAATATTTCCGAAAAACTTGCTTCTCAATATCCAATAATCCAAGTACTTGTGATGTAGACTAAAGATAACAGAGAATATGAGTCTTGAAATATTTCTCAGAAATCTATTGAATAAAAGAACACTATTTTATAAAGTTTTTTCTTGAAAAAAAAAACAGAGCAATGTCAGCTAACATTAATGGATGATTTCTAGAGTATAGGCTTTACGATGAGTATTCACCAATGCTATTTAGAAGAAACTCATGTCTTCTTAATGAGTTATGTCACATTTACACTTGACTGTGCACAGATTTATCTGCAGATGGTAACTGATGTGGCTTTCAAGCCATAACTATCAGTACTGACCACAATTAGTCAACGGAATTCTCCTTCACGTGCCTTAACGATTCACTTGGGAACATTAATACAATATACTGAAAAGATTTTTTAACTTTACAGCTATACTTTTATCTAAATGTGACCTTAAACCTTCATCATGTTTATATTTCGAACAGGAATATAAACCTTTGTCTTGTATCCATTTTATATTGTCAGTGCCTTAGACGTTTCTATGTCAGACATAGAGACAGAATCAACGTCGTAGAACCTTGGAAGAAAGTGCACCGCCTCAAGTAACCACACTACACAGTAGTACACAAGGAACAGTTGGATAGAAAAAGAGTGATATCAAATTAGACAATTTTGTGTGAGAGAATAAACAATCTGAAGATAACGGATAGTAGGTAATATTCAAGTTTTAGAAGACATCCAGGAGTGAATATATCTGTTCCATTTTGACTAACTCTCAGCTATGTTACCAGGAGTTCTTACCCCAAGTTTCCTATCGTCTTGCGGAGCCAAACCAGGTGGCCTACATTCCCCCCCCCTCCCCACACGACTCAGACCAATAGTCGAGGACTTCATCGATTAGTGACACGTCTTGGTCTGGTCGAAACGCTTATTTACAAAACAGGATCGCTGCAAAAGATATTAAAGTTTATTTTCATCATGCTGATTACTTGCTATATGCGATGAAAAACATATATATTTATCTTCTTTTCACTCATACACTCTTGTCTGCTTTAATATCATTCCTTTACTTCATACTTCCTTTCTGCACGTTGCTGTGAAGTAGATTAGCTTAGAATGGTGCACTTCGGTGTAAAGTGTCCAAAGCTCACTTATCTATTTGTTTTTTTATCCGATGCGCTTAGACATTGTTTACCCTGTTGTTATAACTTATAACTTATCGTCGTTGATTGCACCAAATTGATCCACCAATGTCTATCATCATTATTAAACTGAAAATAATGCCAATCTCGAGGTATTCACGCAGGAGCGCCCACATGTCAATTGTATCCGACCAATTTGGTTCGACCAACAATGGGAATTAAAGTTATTACCAGTAAAATTACACCCATCCCACAAGGAACGTCTATCGTGACACAGTGTCCCAGTGGATAACGCTCGGATGTTTGAGGCATGGACGACCACTCTGTCAGACAGTGATTTTCACAATTTCTCCAGTTTATTTTGTAGATGATGTTTGGTTTATCTTCTTTAGTTATTGCATCTTTTGGTCTGCATAACAGAGAGTGATGAGATTTTGTGGGCTTGTGAGATACACCCATTTTCTAGGGGCTTCAATAATCTAGTCGTGATCTCAAAGACGTTCTTTATGTAGGGTAGGATAATCCGTTTGCTGATTTTCGATGTTGACTTCTTGGTTAACGACGAATTATGTCAACATCTTTTGGTGTAGTTGCTTGGATAACAGTTCTTCTGGAAAACTCATCATATAATCTTCTTTTCTTCCCAGGGTTGATGTACTACAGTATGTTTTAGCTCTTTTGAACAATATTTTCATACAACTGATTTTGTGTACTGTTGGGTTGTTGCTATTGTAGTTGAATATTTGATCCGTATGAGTTGGTTTTCTGTATACTTCAGTTCCCAATTTCCCCTAACCTGTCGCAGTGATCAGTACATCCAAAAATGCAGATTTGTTATTTGATTCTTCTTCAGTTGCGGATTTGAGGCCATCGAAAATGTGGTTGATGAATTTGTAAGCGTTTTCCAATTCGTTTTTTTTTAATGCTGATAAGCGTGCCATCTATATATAGGACCCAAAGTTTTGGTTTCATCAATGGCAATATTAGTTTCCAATATTTGCATTACTGCTTCTGAATTAGTTCTTAAATAGGCGATCCAAGTGGTGATCCCTTTGTCTGTTTGTAGAGTTTGCCGTTGAACTGAAAGTATGATGTTAGGCATAAATCAATCAAACTTGGACATTGTATCCATGTGTTCCGAGATATGTGTATCGTTGGCGAGAAGGGTCATTGTATTCTTAGCAAGCTACGGTTCGATTGCGATGTACAGAGCTGTAACGTCGAAAGGCATCATTACTTCGGTGTTAACAATATGAATATACCTGAACTTTCCAAAAATTGTGTCAAGAAGCTGATAGAGTGGTCGTATGATTCTACCAAATATTTCAGCTTTTTGAATTCGTTTGAAAGATTGTATGCTGAGGTTTGGCAGCTTGCTTCTTCCTGAAAATTTTTCCGATGATGTCGTCTAGAATGAAGATGAAAGCTTTATGATTAAACAATCCAGCACAAAGAACACAACGCCATCAAAAACAATCATCTGTTGCAACAATGTTTATAGGAATCCTCGTCCACAAGAACCTATTTCAAATCAAATCAGACTAGTCAAATCATGGCGTCACTTCCGATAAAAAGAAAAACAATACTAATCGTCAATCATTAGTGAAATAACGAAGTAAAATCTCACCCTGGAGTACTTTGAGTGTGGCAATGGATAAAGAAAGTAGCCGTTAACATCCTGATCTTTAAGAAGGCTAGTAAGCTCCAAACACATATCCATTAATAATGCTTGCCGTTGAAATTCATTGGCCAACGAATTCTCAGTGCTATTAGTTGTTTGCTCCGTCATATACAAAGCAGGATTGGTATAATAACTGACAGGTATACCACATTTCATGGCCGGCATAGAATGTATATCTGTTGTTAATGAATTGCTAACTGATTCGGAGAGTGGAGAAGGAGGCGTAAGACCCGTAGCGTCAAGAAGGGATTCCAAAGTAATGTGAGCTGGAGCAGGTTTTTCGAGAAATGGAACATAGGCTGTGGTAGTTGCCATGGTAGATCATATAAACTAGATAAAAGTGAAAATAGACAGACGAAGAAAAAAACGCAATTCAGTTGTCGAAAAAATCAAGTTAGAAATAAGATGGCAAAGGTGTAAACATGGCACATAAGAACTATGTGGACCAGAAATATTCTTCAATTTCTTGAAAAAAGGTACGTGTACTTACAAGAACAATAGTAATTGTCATACAAATGACCCCGGAATGCTTAAACGTGCTAGTAATCATGGCTTATCTACGACTAGCGCTTTGCAAATGTAGATGTTTACATAGAACAGAATGACACCGGCAGTTAATTACAAATTAAGGTGATCCAGCTGCAACAAATATACCCATGCAATAAGCGACTTCCCACTAAAAAGTGAAAGACGTGATTACAATCGGTATTTGGGTTAATTAAATTTATTTCTTTACGTGGAGCTTGTTTTCAGATATTTGAAGGTTGTTCAGAGACACAGCTGTTCCGAATAATGTCAGCAAAGATGGAGAAAATAAACTTGCTGAGAATAACCACGAATTCACTTTTTCAATATGATCATGTGAAAATGCAAACTGAAACTGCGTAACGGACCAAGTTGTCACATCTCATATCGGCACACCAAGTAAAAAGGCAATAAAACGCGACATGAAGAAAGAAAAATCAGTCAGAGGAAGCAGAAGTAGAAAGTAGTCAGAGAGAGGAAGGAAGAATGAGATGATGAAATTAGGTATAGCGTTTAAGATGAGGATAAGGTGTGTATGCGTCTAGGCTACTGACATCAATTCCAAGCCATATCACCAAGAATCTCCAACCACTGGTTTCTCTTGCCCCCCTCCCCTAAACCACAACCCGCTAGTCTCCATCACCCTACATCCCTCAAACCAACAGTCAACCAATTCATACAGTCATGCATCTTCCATTCTAACCCCACACAGACTCTTCTTCTCCTCCCACCCTCAACCTACTTCACACAACATTCTACGACAACATACTCACTGACCATGCATCCATAACACACATTATACCCATCTCACTCAATCAACGTGCACAACCACATCAAATCACTTCCCTCGACTCCCCAAAACTCTACACCTCACGTCTGCATTACTCACCTGGTGACACCACTAAACATAGTCTATACTACGAAGGCAACCATGGTCAAACACCTGAAGCCTTCTCATGTCTTCTACCCTTAATGGTCATGCTTCACAGACACACAGTAGAACAGAGCTGACTGAAGCACAATACAATCAACCCTTAATAGACAATCGGATATCGTGACGGCGCCACACATGGTGTAAGCTGGCAAAAGCCAACTGAGCCTTTCGTATCCATGTAGAGATTTCGTCGGACACTGACCAACGCACCGGGTCTGATCCGACTTCTCAGGTAAGTGAAGTGGTTGACACACTCAACCATTTTACCCTCTATTGTAGGCCAAAACACTGTTGAAGACCAATCCTGCAGCAACAATTTGCATTTGGGTGGCGAGAAACATCCCAGACATTCTCAAATTGCTACTCAATATGTCAAAAAGACGCTGTATTTTGTCAACATCTTCATTTAACAGGACTTTGTCATCCGTAAGCGTGCCTGTGTTCTAGAACCTGGCGGTGTGAATATTTTCTCGACACACCTACTACCGCGTCTGAAGCCTGCCTGGTTTTCTCGGGCTTGCTGTTCCCCAGCTCCATCCTGACATCTAATGATTATGAAATCTAGAATTTTAGACACTATGTTCGTCAGGTTGATTTCTCTAAGGTTATCACAAGAGGGTGTCTTGCCTTTCTTGAAGACTGTGACAATCAGTCAGTCAGAGAGGACCATTTTTGACTTCCATGCACCAGTTAATACTGAACACTGATATCTCCAGTGTGAAAGTGGGTTTACGAAACAAAGAACGTTGTCTTGCTGAAGTGGATCATTAGGAATAACTGCAGGCTAAAAGGCTTAGAAAACTGTTAAAACCTCAATGTCGGTGGCAGAAACAAGTAGTGAAGCCGAGGGAAGAGATAAGGGTAGATTACAGTTAAATAGATCTTGTATGTTTTTAGAAGCATGTGAGTAGTTCATACTTCATGGTTGCCTATATCGTGTGAATTGATGTCTTCTCGAAGTATCTGAAAAAGGAGCTAGATTGGTAATCGTGGTACGTGATTCCCGTTCCTACAGGACAGACATCTGCTTAGGGCCAACTAAGCATGGCCATTTGAAGATTTCGGTTCACGATTTACCATTCTGTCCGAACTGCGAAAAGCCTCCTGAGAAGAGTGTTTTTCTGGGGCTGACTCTCGTTAATTACTCCTGAAAAGCAAGGCAGTATCAGCATGAAGTGCTGGTCATTTGTCACAGATGCTTTACAGATTTCATATCCAATGTAGTCAACAGCCTGAATTCGCCCTTCGACACCCACCGCAGTGAGAGCTAGTTACACTATGGCGGTATTTGCTCTTTTCCTGAAACTATCCAGCAAACTTTCCTGGCATAGTGCAATGGTTCTAGCCAAGACACCTCATTGGGTCAGTGCAGAAGGTAAATTCAAAAGCTACATTAATTAGCAGTCGTTCGTCGGGAATGTTTAGACAAAACAATGCCACTTCACAAGTAGTAAGACAAATAAAACCAACGTAAGACTCTAAAAAAAAAGTGCATCAGTTCAAGTTGCCATATTTTACTGTAGTATACAACAGAAAAAAAGTGATATCAAAATAAACAAAGGTGTACAGGAGAAGCAATTTGAAAATGTTGAAACCTTTAGAGACGGCCCATTGCCACCGATTTTTCGCCATGTCACCAAGCTTCTCCAACCATTGATTCCTACCATCTTGAAGACCACGAACAGGCGGTCTACACCTCATTACATGGCTCAGACCAACAGTCGTACCTCGAGGAGTGGTGCCATATCCCTTTCTAGCCGCCCTGAGCTTGCTTCCAACCTAATCCAACTTCCGCTAACACCACATATCGGGGCAGGTGGTGGATTGAAATGCGCAACCCATGTCCAACCCACCTGTCACATGACGTTTGCAAGCTCATCAACTGACTTGCCTGATACCTTTTCCCTAACCTCGACATTGCTCACACGGTAATCCCGCCAACATAAGTCTGTGTTCAAAAACCTGCAACCTCTTCATATCTATCCCTAATGTCCATATCTCAGCCCTATAATAGGATAGAGCAAACTGAAGCGCAGCAAACATGTCCTTTACCAAGTCGGATACCCCCCCCCCCCGGCACCAGAGATGACGCAAGTTGAAAAGTGTCAAACGGGTGTTTCGTATTCAAGCTGAGATTTCGACAGTAACTAACCGATTCGAAATGAAGCAACTTCGCAGGTAAATGAAGAGGTCAATGTGTTCTACTACTTCACTCCTTATCCTTAAGTAGGGAGTAGATTTATCTTACATCATCTTACACTTCGCAGGTGAGAAACGGATGGTAAACATACTCAGATTTCTCAAGGAGTTTAAAAGGCTCTGCATTTTGTCAGTGTACTCGCCTAATATAACATGTCGTCGACGTACTCCAACCTGACCAGATACCCCCAAGGAGTAGGTCAATCTGTGTGAAATAAATTCAGAGGTATCTAAGGTTCTTTCCATTGGTACATCTAAGACTAAATTAAACGGGAACGACGACAGCGAGGTTCCCTGTCGTACACCACTAGTTGTAGTCAGTTCAGACGACTCCCCATAAGCTCTTGCACGAATTTGATTTGAAGTCGAGTTTTTATTAGCGCTATACACAAGTTCAGTACTTCCTTTACAGTCAGTTATCGAGCCCACTAGGCGTCCAAAGTGTGAGGACTGCATGATCTTCGGCATGATGCTGGTCAAAGTGATTCTCCTACAGTTGTCACAAGAAAACTTCTCTCTTTCATAGACTAGGATGTTCAGTGAAGTAGATCAATCTGGTAGGACTTCCCCTGATTTCTATACGCTAAATAATATCTGTTACTCTAATCAGCAATTTCCGACTTTCTTCCTCAAAAATTTCTGATGGTAAGCCATCACATCCTGCTACTTCGCATAGTTTCAGATTTGGAACACACTTCTTAACTTTGATGGGAGTAGACAGGCAGACACATACGTCTCATTGAGGTTCAAACTGTATCTTGGGTAGCTAAAGCCTGGGAATGAGTCAATTTAACTGCGCTTCGAAGTATTCTGTCCAACGTTTTAGCCACCTGTTATGAGAGGTTATCAGGGCTTTATGCTTTCTGGTAATGGTCCTACTCACCATCCTTTTCTTCCTGCTAGTATCAATAATGAGCTTAAGTAATTACCAAGTATTACTTAATGCTGATCCCTTATCCACCTCTTACCCTTTCGTCATCCAACACTGATCATGATCATTGTGAGAACTTTCATTCACTTTATATTTGAGCTGCTTTCTTTCTTGACTGCGGTTAGAGCCACATGGAATGAGTCTTCTCGCGTCAATCAGTTAGGATGAAGTTCCCAAAGCCTACTGACATTCTGCAAACCATAAGATATAGGTTACCGAATGTCTTGATCCTGTCTTAACTACACTGCAAATATGAGTAGACTCAGTTTGGCTTAGACGGAGAGTTAACTGTCAGCACAGAGGTATACGGTTTCAAGAGTGAGGCTTAACCTGCGCCAACAGATTGATTATAAGGTTCACATAGGGTCAACATAAAGGCGACACCGAGTTAGGCATCAGCCAAATGTGACAACCCTGTAAGTCAGTTCCGGATATCAGCTGAAAGAATAAGCTTGGATATCCACGGTCAATACTGCCTCAGTATTCACCACCCTGGTCCTTAAATATTGCTTATTAGCAATCCCAATCAAATGAGATGTTGCAAAACCATATTCCTCCCTTTCACTAGCTTTCTTTAGCAACAGGGATAGTCCTGCTATTATCATGCTGACTCACGACATTTTCGAGTGGGATTTTTTCATCCCACTAGATTTAATATGCCAAAGCTGTTTTACGAGCATAAATCAACTGACTACGGTGTCCTGGCTTCTTCGTCTTGAGTAACGACTCAAGGTCATCGGTGGATTTCGATGCAGTAGATCCAGGGCGAAGGCACCTAGCTGTCCAAATACGAGGTGTAGTAACATGCAGGTTAGCAAGCATATGAATAATCGGAACAGGAGTTTAGCTTGTCAGTTATTATTAGGCTTAGGTCTTTCTCCGTGGTCATATGAGAAAGGTGCGTGTCACGAAGTAGGATACCTTCTATAAGTCATTAGTCAACACTTTTGTGCGGAGAAAAGTAAAAGCACGGGAAAAAATTCCACTGAAAACTCGGGATTTAGTAACATTAATGGAGCGATATTGCTCGGAGTTCGGTCCCATTTTATGTGGGCTCCACGTCTTTTCAAGTCACCTTGAGTTGCCCGCTATTTCACGTTTCTTTCCATTTGTTCCACGTTGTTACATCTTCCGCACTTCACTCCCACGTTTTCTTCCCTGAGAAAATGTTGACTGGGTAAACAGTACAGATAAGGCCTATTAGGGAAATGTTACTCAAACAGGTGGCAGCAGCGTATTCATCGTAAAGTTATGAAATAAAATATTTTCCCAAAGATACACTCACTGTCCAACTTCAACCTAAGGCACAGTACTCATCAGACTTCCCACTTGGAAGTCGGTGCGTAACGTAACAAAGGAACCTTCCGCTCCAATATCCAATATTGATAGTGCGAGCGTAGAAAACTGGTCGTTTTCGATCTCTCGTGTCTAGTTCTTAGGGCTTGGTTTGAGTTGTTCGGTTCGCTCCTGCAGTGGACGAGGAAATCCCTTCTGTTTTCGTGCTTTTAGTTTCAGTGAGGTAAGTAAGTTGTAATTTGTAGAGTGATCGGGGGGCTGCGGGTTAGGCTAGGGACTTTCGTAACTCCTGTTTGTGTAGGCATCTGAAAGAGGTTAGTACGGCAGTGGTAAAAACTGAAAAGAGTGAAGAAGAAGAGATAAAATAGAGGAAGAGAAAGAAAAAGAAGAGAAAGGGGAGGGGGAAAAGAAGAGAGATAAAAGAAAGCGAAAATCGTGTGGAACTGCCAGAATGGTAAAAATAGATAGCGTAGGTCTAGTTCCTGGAAAATAATTAGTGGATAATGTGGACATATTAAGGAGGGAGATGGCGAGTGGTAGGTAGGAAGGGGGAGGGTGGCAAGTTAGGTTGGCGACTCCCTGAGTACGTCCGTGGTAGACTATACGAGGTGACATGACTGTCTAACCGTCTCTTGAATGAGTCGACTGAGGGGGCTATGACGATATGCCACGGTAGGGCATTCCATAAAGCACATACTCTCGGGGATAAAAAATTGGACCTGAGTATGGTGTTGGCTCTCTGATGTGCTATCTTAATGGAGTTTCCTCGTGAAGACCGCTGTGTCGCAGGCAAGGTTGATTTGTCTGTGTGGCTTGCCTGATGGGTGACCTTGTAGACCACCACAGGGTCACATCCCCTCCCTGTGATAACCCAAGGTGGATGGGGTTAAGTGTTCCGGTCTTTCAGGGTATGTCTTTCCCTTGGCCCCACAACTGACTTTGCTGTAGTTCTTTGTATTTTTTTCGGGCAGATTAGTCTCTCTTGAGTGTTGGAAGGGCCACCGTATTGAAGGCCTCTGGATGCGGCCGCACGTAGGACTTTAAAATGTTGAGGAAGGGCTCGGGGATGAGGGCGCCAAGTTATCCGCACAGAAAGCGCAAAATGGCATTCGCTCTGGTTGCCATGTCTTTGTATCGAAGCTGGCGTTCAAGGTGTCGGAGACGATGAGCCCCAAATCCTTGCCCGTGGACGCTTGCTCAACATGTACTGTAAGCCGGTCGTACTTGCTTCAAGTTTACCGATATGCATTACTTTGGACGTTTCCAGGTTGAAGCTTGGGCCATTTTCCGACGACCGGAGTTCAAGCTGCTGCAAGTCCTTCAACATACATCAATATCCACCAACATACAGTATCAATAGTACCAGTACAGGAAGGTTGCAGTTTTTAAGACCTCACCCACGGTCAAAAAGCTTTAATCGCTCAGTGAGAGAATCGAAGGAGCTATTGTCCACGTGGCTTTCATGTCCAGAATCTGTGTGACAGTGGTTTGTGTCTTCGAGACTTGCCACAAAACCAACGAATAAATAAAAGAAAAACGGCAGGTTATAGCTGACTTAGACTTAGTGTGAACTTAGGTTAACATCCGTTTTGTGTTCAAAAGACTCTTATGGTATGACCCAGACAACCTCTACGAGAAAAGCATTCCATCCCTACACGGAGCAAGTGGCAAGTTGGATGCCCTTCCTACTGTGTTCAGAATCCAACCTCAGACTGTTCTACCTTGGATTCGTACCACAGAGATGATGAGGTCAGTCATCTGAATAATTGAGTGTAGTGGGTCATTACTAAGCCACTTCTCACCTGTCTATTTTTCAACAGATGCAGATTGATTGTTACCTCGTCTTCTTCATTTGACTTCAATCTACGAAATGGTTTTGTATGATTCATCTGGATGAGTTCTGACTGATTCTTCTTCTGAAGTGAAAGGTGAAGGAATACCGCTTTTATTTCTAGTTGGCGCCTTGTAAGGTGGAGATTTCTTTCACTGAAATACTTGTGATCAAACTTCTCGAGACTGGTTTCAAGTTCGCAAGTTCTAGATTTGCACTTTTATCGCAGTCAGCGTAAGATTTGAGATCATGGGGGAGCGAGACCTTCAGATCACTTTCTATCAAAGGCTTTCAAATATGTGATGAAATCTGAACGCCTTACACACATCACACTGCTGAAGCACCACGTTGCATTTTTCGAAGTTAAAGGTTTATTCGTTGTCGTGTGCCCAATCTTAATTCGCTGTCGAATCTTGTTGCAAGATGAGTCCGCCGCTTCTGCGCCTGATTTCCCTCTACATCTACACATCACCAAGGGAGTATTCTTAGAAAATCCCTAAGTATTCAGATCGCCCAAGTAATTCGGAAATAGGGGGTGGCTAGTACGACTCATTGCAGTCGGCTTAACAAGACTCATCCCAGCCTTTGAGGGGCGTTCGCCTAGGTGTGACGATTACCAATCAATTAATGGTGAGTCAGATGGCGTTGGCCGCGACGTTTCAGCTCCGCTAACTCCCATTAGAAGTAGAGGTAACGTGCCTGAACTTCAGACATTACGTCTTGACTAATGGGATGTAAGAACGATCTGCTGAGGGTTTCGAAAGGGAACACTGCCCATTTCGCAGTTAAAGTCCCGGACGTCTGACTTTTGCCCAGCCCGCTGGTGTCTTTCCAACCTCAAAAGCTACAGGATCCGGTTGCGTATCACCTCGGGTTGTTTGCGACACTGAGTTCCGGAGGACAGGCTGCGTGAGGGCACAAATGAATTTGTCAGGCGTGAGCCTGCAGTAAAAGTCCACGTCCCGACAAACATTGAGAGCTGCTCAACTTGTCCGCTGCAGAGACCTTTAGAGGGCTGGAGTGTTCAGTCCTCTGAAGTTCCAGCTACGAGTTTGGAGGTCGGGTTAGTTCAGCTTCCTAAGCATACTGGAACCTAGTGGCAACGTGATCACTCCTTCCCGAAGGAAATAAGACCATGAGGTTAGCGCCAAGAACTTTCCACTTGTCAGGATCTAGTCTAGTGGGATAGAGCTTTTGACAACCTTGCATCGCTTCACTAACCTCACACTTTCTGCTAGTCCTAATTCCTCAGCAAGGTTCTTGAATCAGATTTTAATGGAGTTGTTTCCTCCGCTGAACATGTGACCTAAAATCTGGCCCCACGGTGGTTGGGATCTCCTAGAATTTAAAAAATAGTGATGTATACATATATTTCACACAACATAGGTTACATGAATACATACCAGTTTACAGGTTTGATCATTTTGGTAGTGAGAAATGACTATTGTGTACGGTGTTGAGCTATACATTAGATACCGTTATTCATGGCATATAAGAGGTGTTGAGGCAGGCCCAGTTCTAAATTAGGAATTATTCGGTTACTGTTTGGATCTTCCAACATTCCTGAAGGTGGGCCACATCACAGTCATGACCCTGGGGTGCGTGCGTTCGTCATAAGGTTTTGATGGCAAGGTGCACACTGACAAATGCGATTTCTAGGATTCCGCTTGAGTGCAGGACTGATTAGGTAAACCTGAAAAGTGAATAACGAAAGCGAGCAGCAGGCGAAATTCGAAATGGGAGCACAAGAATACACAGGAGTGGATTAGCGACGATACATATGGGTGAGCTCTGTACTGACTACAAAACTCACTCGAAGAAGTGTCCAGAACCAACTGTCTAGAGGTAAGCTTGGGTGGAAAAAGATGAAGGTGCGCGCGACGGCAATGAAAATTAGTCTGAGGCCGAAGATATCATTACGAAATGGATAGATTAGGGGATTTTGGACCAGGCATTCACTTGTTATATACCTATGTACAAAAGTTTGATGAAGTTATGAACATTTAAGTGAAATTCACGGTTTTTCCTAAGACGGTAACCACCCTTTATCCGGTCACGGGGGGAATGATCATGGTGTTGCCTGTTGAGGATCACCATATTGGGGCCACCAAAACAATATGATGGTGCAGAGTACTTACATGTAAGTACTGATAACAAAGGGCAAATAGTAAAACATGTTACATGCCATGAAAATGCACCGATAGACAGTTATCTTATCTTTTCGGGGTAGAGAGATTATTTCAAGGGACGAATTTTAAGAAATAGGTGTCAAGTCGTGAGATCAACTAGGTTATGTAGAAATGTAGGTTACATTAGAGTAGCTACAGAGTTCACTGTTGCATATCTTATTGCACTCCGCTTCCTGTTCACCCTTGGTCGGTTTTCTTGTTCAGAAGTTGGATCCTAACTAATTCGTTTAGTTTTCGGCATTTCATACTTTTGTCATTGCTGTTAGTCTCCCTTGAGTCTAGGCACCAACTGCACCATTGTACATGGTATTGCCGTCTGTGGTTTGGCCGTCAACGAATTGATGAGATTCGCTGGATGGGAGGAATTCACCAAGCAGTCGTTGAAACTGGCCAAGAGATCGACATGCTCGTATAGGAGTGGGAAGTTTGCTCCATAGCACACTGTATTGCGTTATGAAAAACCTACATCGAAGTTTTGAGCGATACTTATTAATTGGAATGATGTGACCGCTATTACGCAGATTATATACCTGTGTTGATTTAAAAGTGATAGCACATTTTGTTTTAGAGTTTCGAAATAAGAGGCGAAAAAGAAATGTTAGGTTCCAATATCCAATATTGATAGTGCGAGCGTAGAAAACTAGTAGTTTTTGATCTCTCGCGTCTAGTTCTTAGGGCTTGGTTCCAGTTGTTCGGTTTACTCCTGCAGTGGACGAGGAAATTCCCTCTGCTTTCTTGCTTTTAGCTTCGGTGAGGTGGATGTTTTGTGGGTTAGTAGGTTGTAATTTGTAGAGTGATTAGGGAGCTACGGGTTGCTGGGAAGTTTAGAGAACTGCCATGACTCCTGTCTGTGTAGGTACCTGGAAGAGAATAGTAAGGTAGTGGTAAAGGAATGAAGAGAGAATAAAGAAGAGAGTGAAGTAGCACCATAGAGACTCTGGGAGCTGGGTTAAGGCCGTATCGCTAACCATCCTTGCCTTTAAACAGGAGTTTACGTAGATAGCCACTCCCCCTCCTGCTCTATGTTCCCTGTCCCTGCGGAAGAGTTCCATGCCAGCAACACGCATCTCTTCGTCGGAGATGTCCGATGAGAGCCAGGATTCGGTGATGAATATGATGTCGTAGTGCTGATGTTCACGCAGCGTCCTCATTTTTGCTACCTTCCCTATTAGCCCCCTAACGTTGCTGTACATACATATTAGAGTGTACCTGATGAGAGGGGAGGTCTGGATGTGTATTTTCGCGGGATGAGCGCTTACGTGGTTGAATTTAGCCTCGCCAGTCCTCATAGGACTGGCATTGTTCCGTTTTTTTGTGTTTTGTTCTTAACTTGGGTGGGGGCTGTAGCAGTGGTGGCTTCTTTACTTGATGTATCTAACTCACTGGTCAGCGCCTGTGTGACGACCACTGACTCCAGAGGTCTTGGTGGTTGCCGTCTCTCCTCTTGCCTTGTGGGTCTAGGCTTACTTTCACATATACGTATTGAGCCACCCATGCGATCTTTCGCATTATACCATGCGTGCAGAACGTCTGTGAGGGAGGCATATGAGTCGAACTGGACGGCAAGTAGTCTGGGATTGGGTATGGTCTTCAGGTGCGCTGGCCTTGGCAGTCTACTGACGCTGTTGGCCGGTATACTGTTGAGACCAACTTTGGTTGAGAGCCATTGCCATTGTTGGACGTCGTGAAAGTACCGATCTTTGACCGAGCTGTCACTTGGCAATTCTGGAATCCCATGTACAACTATAGTGTTGTTTCTGTTGGGATTTCCAACCGCTGACTTTCTCTCCTCCTCTCTTACTGACCATGGCTTGTCAGGCCTGGCCCGAATTTTACAGGCATTAACAACGTCCGGTTGTCGCGAGAGGAGGAGTGTGTCTTCAGCCTCTTTGGCGGTATTTAGGGACACACGTAAAGGGGGGGGCTTATCTCGGGGTGCATGGCTTCCTCGAGAAAGGCGACACAAAGTTGCAGGGAGGGGAGGGAGTCCCAGCATCTGACAGTAGTCGGTCCACATTCGGCTGTCAAATTGTTCCCTCTCGACCAACAATGAGTCTGTCGATACATCGACGTTGAACAAAATGATCGAGTTGGTCCTCCTGTGACCTGGGTTCGTTGTGGGTGGCACGCCCGACTTACCAATGGGTTTGAGTAATTCCACTGGTTGTTTCTCAGTCACGGTGTGTGGGGTGTTCGGAATGGGTTTCGTAGAGGCTTCGGCGGTCGATGTCTTTGGCCATGCGCTTGACGTCCCCTGGGGCCGGGTGGGGGTATGGAGACTTGACCTAATATGGTCCCCACGCGAGATGGCGTGCCCACAGCTGGAGCTCTAGGTCTGTTTCCAGGTCTCTCTGTGTTATCCTTTGGTGTTAACCCTACTTATTCGAGGATGCTGGTAGCTTTTGCGTGGCGGAGAGCATCTCCTTCAGGCTTTCTGTGCGGAGTGCGGGCATTTTCCTGCACTCTGGACAGATGTACCAGAACCACTTGCATGGTTGTCTCTTCATCAGCTTATAGTATTGTCGGGGGACTTTGGTATCGCAGTGGCAATGCACCCATCGTTGACACAGGTTGCATGCAAATGCCTCATCGACTACCGAAACAACTTTGGTGCAAACACTGCAGCCATCGGGTGTCGTAATACAGCCTTCCTTCCATGAATAAGGTGCTACGGATTGTGGCGAACTGCTTGTGGCTGCCTTGTTCTGAAGCCTTTTACGTCGTCTTCTATGTTCAGGCATGGTATGATCCTTGCTCAAGATAGGACTAGTTTGTGACGGGCTAGTGCTACTCTGTGTCACCTGTCTGATGGCTACTGGAATTCTAGAAACATGGGTTGGCCACTTCTTCAGAAGTTCGATGTTCTGCC